CAGGGAGGGTAGCAGGGAGGGTAGCAGGGAGGGAGGGAGGGAGGGAGAGAGAGGTCTGTCTCCGGGTGCCCCCAGTGAAGAAAGCCAGCACCATCCCCTTCGCCCAGCAAGGACACGCACCTCGGACGCCACCTCTTCGTCGTCCTCCTCCTCCTCCTCCCCGTCCTCCTCCCCTTCCTCCTCGGTGCCATCCTCCTCCTCCATCGTCGGCCCCCTTCTCGACCTCTGCGAACCATTTTCCTCCATCTTGCTCTCCTCCTGTTCAAGGCTGCACCAGCTCATCACCGAGGCTTCGGAGGAGGTCTCGTTGCCCTCTACCTCGTCTTCCACGTGGGCAGGATGAAGTGATGGGAAGGGAAGGAAGCCGGAAGAGGGTGGAAGGCCCCCGAGGCCAGAGTGCCCCTCGACGCCGATACTCGCCGTCCTGAGCCCAGTGCCCTCGAAAAAAACTCGCTGTTGGCCGCCACAATGGACGAAAGGACGGGATAGGGGGGGGGATGAGGGTGTCTGGGTTTTTTTCCCGTTTTGTGTCAGCCATGTGCTTGTCCATCACGCCGGAGACGCCCCCGACCATCTTTCTCCGCCTTCCTAATGACCAATCCATTCGTATACACATCGCCCCATCGAATAATATGAAAGGATTTCGCATAGTGGAGGATGTTTGCGGTCCGGTGGAGGAGACTTGTCTACCCCCAAAGACAGCTCGGATGCCGATAGCGGTTTCTGCCTCATCTATTCACGCATAGTTTCTCAACACCTACCATTTTTTCCTCGGCTTACATCTCTATCCATGCAATCGTATAGTACTTTACGTCATCAAGTCACTGAACGGCACCTACCTCCAACATTTCCTCGTGATACTCGTGCCCCTGCTCTCGCTCCTGCCGTCCTCGGCTGTAGCCTACAGCTTCACCCCTCCTCTGGGATCTCACAGGTCCATGCACACACAGTGCGCTCTCCTTCCTTTTCTCTTCTCCTTCGACCCTAAGGCAGCCGTGATGGCGCTGGACAAGGTGAAAGAGGCGGAAAAAGTGAGCCGTCGGTCATACCAGTGCGGTGCAACACTTGATGAGAACAAGATTAGAGGGGAGAAGGGATCTCTCTGAATCCATTACGCAAAGTCGGCCGGAAAGGGGCACGCCATCGCAATTCCAACAGTGTCACCAAGGCGTTTCAGAGGCCATGGCTTTGTTACGATGGAGGCCTGCGAGGGGTACGGCGTATGGGATCGACCACCCTGCATCCATGGTATCTTGTGTCCCAGACTAGGCAACACATGCGTCGCCACTCGCCTACGGAGAAATAAACACACAAAAAACCGAAGAAAGGACAGGAACGATGGGCAGGGCCAATGGACAGCAGGAAATAGAGGCAAACCGTTTTTTTGCGAGGGGTCAAATATCGTGCGGACGGTGTGTGGAGTCGTGTGATTTTTTAAGCGCTTGCTACTTTGGGGGGAATTGTAACACCCGCATTGCTCGTGTAGATGACAACGTACAGCCTGAAAGGGAAACCTTTGGCTCGGCAATTATCGCACATCCTTTCCAGGCAGAAAGCCTCTTATTGTTGGCACGTGTCTCATAAGATAATAGGCGGGCGCGAAGCACGCGTCGGGTCATCAGGTTACGGTGGATGTGCCAGAGAGGATGAAGAGAAGAGGGAGATTCCATCCAAAGAACAAATTCAATCGATACAATCTTCATATCTGCGTCAGTCCCATCCATTAATTTCTATACTTTACGGTCCTATATTCGTGCATGAAACGGAAAAGCACGGCACCGGCTAGGTAGAGCCAAAAAATGGCACCCTGTTTCACCCCCTTTTGACACCACAGTCACGCCCGCCACGCCGCTCGCTCCTCGTCTTCTCCCTCCAGCCCCCGCCCTCGTCCTCCACAGGATTCCAACCTCAATAAAAAGGAATCTTCTGCGTCCTCCCCGGGACCTATCGGTCGGCCCCCGTAATTCTCGAGAATGATGCGCTGCAACGACTTTTGTGCTTCGAGCATTGCGTCCAAGACCAAGCAATCCTCTTCTTCGCGTGCCTGCGCCTCGATGGCGATCCCGTCACACAGTTCTACGCAAGTACAGGACAGCCACGAGGAGGGATGGAGGGAGGGAAGGAGGCATTACGGCCCCGGTCATCCACAGATTGCTTCCCCCCCACCTTGATACGACACAGCACATAGGACCGAAGCGTCCCTCTCCTGGTCCCTCCCCTTGCCCCTTACCTCTCAAGGTTCTCTTGACGTGATGTTGAAAGCTCTCCATTTCCTCCAAAAAACTCTCTTGCGGGCTCCGGACAGCCGTCTCTATGCCATCCAGGGCCGCTGGAGGGAGGGGAGGGAGGAAGTGGGCCAGGGAGGGAGGGAGGGGAGGGAGCAAGCGAGGAAGGGAGGAAGGAGGGGAGAAGGGAGGGCAAATGGAGCGGGAAGGATGAGAATGAGACCACAATCGCATCGCTCCAAAATGCGTCGAGACACCACGTTCAGGGAGAGAGACGATCTTCAAGGCCCTCCTTCCTCCCTCCCCTCCCAACCCCTTCCTCCATCCCTTTCTAAACCCCTCCCCCCTCCTACCCATCCTCGCGCCCGTCTCCCGCTCAAATGTCTTCGCAGTCCTTTCCACGTGCTCCTTCAGCCGTTGCTCGATCCGTTCCTCCCTGTGGGATTCAGTGACACGCCCGGTGAGATGCCAGCCTCCAGGTTGTCGCGGGATCCAACTTTTCCTCGTCTGTCATACCCCCCGGGAATTCATGTCAGGGTTATCCCTTCTTCATGGCACGTACCTCTTCCTGACTTTAC